GTGTGAATGGAGGCCGCTGTTGCGAGACAGAGAAAGGCGGGTAAGAGTCTAGCTAGCATCATTAAGGACACAAAGGGATGCAAAAATGATAAACAAGGAGGAGTCAAGGATAACACCCAATTTTGTAGCTTGGGTAACTGGGTGGAACTCTGAAGCTTCAATCTCTGCATTGCTGGCTTTTTATCGGTTCAGAAGTATTTCATTCCCCAGCCAGGCAGTAAGTGTATTTGAAGGAGGAATCATCTTTTTCATACCACCCTCATTTCCCTTCACATCTTAAGCCCTGAGTTAATTTTTTGGTGTTCCCCATCTTTTAGCAGCTTGACACCCAGACCTTAAGCTTTGGCTACCCTCAGGAAAGGAAATGTTTTTCAACAGAGCTGGAAGAAAACACCCTTTCCCAGGAAGTTAGACTCACTATTGGTGATGACGTGCAGTGTGTTAAGGTTGTAACTTAACATAACTGCTCTCCAGTGATGATCGTTTTGTAATGTATAAAATATCGAATCACTATGCTGTGTAACATAAATTAACATAGTGCCGTAGGTCACTTATACCTCAAAAACAAACAAACAAACAAAAATAGAAAAAGAGCTCAGACTTGTGGTTATAAGAAGCAGGGGGTAGGTGGAGGGGGAATTGGATGAAGGTGGTCAAAGGTGTAAACTTCCACTTATAAGATAAATAAGCACTAGGGATGTAATGTACCACATGATCAATATAATGAACATTGCTGTATGTTATATATGAGAGCTGTTAAGAGAGGAAATGCTGGGACTTCCCTGGTGGTGCAGTGGTTGAGAGTCCGCCTGCCGATGCAGGGGACGCGGGTTCGTGTCCCGGTCCGGGAGGATCCCACATGCCGCGGAGCGGCTGGGCCCGTGAACCGTGGCCGCTGAGCCTACGCGTCCAGAGCCTGTGCTCCGCAACGGGAGAGGCCACAGCAGTGAGAGGCCCGCGTACCACAAAAAAAAAAAAAAAAAAAGAGAGGAAACCCTAAGAGTTCTCATTACAGGGAAAATATTTTTTTCTTTTTCTTTTCTCTTGTATCTATGTGAGATGATAGATGTTCACTAAACTTACTGTAGTTATCATTTCACGGCATATATAAATCAAATCAGTATGTTCTATAACTTAAACTTATACAGTGCTGTATGTCAATTCTATACCAATAAAGTTGGAAGAAAAACAGTAACTGTTTTCCAAATAATAGAGGTACAATCAAGAATGCCAGTTCATTTTCTTCCCGAGTTCCACCAAAAGGGCTTATTTTTCAGATTTCTCCATCGCTCCAGTGTTTAGTGGCCTTTTAGAATTCTCTACTCCTGTTTTTAAGAAAATGCAAACAAAGGAAGCCCCCAAACCTTATGAATCATGGAATTTAAATTAAACATTTTGAATCATCAGTATCCTCCATCACAAAGTGGTCCATTCCCATGGCTTCCAGAGGAAAAGAACAGTGCTCCATGACAGGGATTCTGAAAATGCAGAGGATGGGAGGCTGAGTGATGGCCTCCTGAAGATGTTCACAACCTAGTCCCTGGAACCTGTGAATATGTTACTTTACATGGCAAAAGAAAGGGACTTTGCAGACATGATTATGTTAAGAATCTTGAGATGGGTACATTATCCTAGATTGACTGTGTGGGCCCAACGCAATCACAGGGGTCCTTGTTAGAGGGAGACAGGAGGATGAGTCAGTAGTAGGAGATGTGACACAGAAGCAGGGGTTGTAGTGATGTGATTTGAAGATGGAGGAAGCAGCCACAAACCCAGGAATACAGGCAGCCTCTAGAACTTGAAGAATGAAAGGAAGCAGATTCTCCCCTCAAAGCTTCTGGAAAGAACCAGCCCTACTGACACCTTGCCATTAGCCCAGTGAGACCAATTTTGGACTTCTGACCTCAGAACTGTAAAATAAATAAATTGGTGTTGCTTTAGGACACCATGATGGTTAAATTTTGTATGTCAGCTTGGCTAGGCTATGGTGCCCAGTTGTTCGGTCAAACACTAGTCTAGATGTTGCCGTGAAGATATTTTTTATATTGTGATTAATTAACATATTGTGATTAATATCTACAATCAGTTGACTTTAAGTAAAGGACATCACCCTAGATAATACAGGTGGGCCTCATTCAATCAGTTGAAGATCTTAAGAGCAAAAACAAAGGTTTCCCAAAGAAGTAATTCTGCCTCAAGACTGTAACACAGAAATCCTGCCTGAGCTTCCAACAATGCCAGTCTGCTCTACAGATCTCAGACTCGGCAGCCCTACAACCACATGGACCAATTCCTTAAAATAAATATCTTTATTTAAATATATATTTATGCACATATATATTTATACATATACACATTTATACCCTATTGTTTCCTTTTGGTTTTGTTTCTCTGGAGAACCCTATTACAGCCACTGAGTTTACAGTAATTTGTTATAGCAGAAATAAGAAACTAATCCACAGTATAAATGAGAAGAGGTACCTGGCTTTGCTTGTTTCTGACAATGATGTTCTCCAACTCGCATCTTCACTTGCAAGGTCATATATATTTACCAGCATGGTCTCTGAGCATCTCAATGGTAATTTGTTACTTTTCTTTGGTTTTGAGAGTGCAGGGATTGGTGTTTCTTGAGTAAAATTGTTACCAGTATTTCCAAAGTGATCCAGAAAATATCTGGTGATAAGTTCAAGGTTTGTTTTTAGAGAATTTCCCTTTGCCTATCATCAGAAGAAAAAAAATCATTAATTTTACGTACAGCTTTGGGGAAAGGTGGGAAAGACAGCCATCACAATTCTTTGACATAGTTTATCAACTTCTTACTCATCCATACATTCTCTCAGCAAACATTCACTCACTGCTTATTATATGTCAGGTACTGTGTTAGGTAGCAACACAGATGAAGACAAAAATCAGTACCTTAAAAGAACTAGCATCCAATGCATGAGTCAGGAGATTCAATGAATAATTGCAACAAAATGTGATATGAACAGAGGAATACCCAAGCAAATTTCCTCTTGTTTTTTTCTCCTGGGAGTAACTTTATAAAATATATATCCTTTTATTAAAAAAAAAAATTAAGTCTTTATGATTGCTAACCCTACAACTTTATAAACATTTGGGACCTGAATGATTTCTTAGTTTATGTACTCTACATTTAACACTGGGCATAAGGAATTACAGAGACAACGCTGCAGAAAGTTAGCACAAGAGCATAGAGAGGCAGTCAGGATTGACTCAGCTTACACCCCAATCTTTAAAAAAGATAAAATGAAACTTTTTTTTAAAAATAAATTTACTTGGGCTTCCCTGGTGGCGCAGTGGTTGAGAGTCCGCCTGCCGATGCAGGGGACGCGGGTTCGTGCCCCGGTCCGGGAAGATCCCACATGCCGCGGAGCGGCTGGGCCCGTGAGCCATGGCCGCTGAGCCTGCGCGTCCGGAGCCTGTGCTCCGCAATGGGAGAGGTCACAACAGTGAGAGGCCCGCGTACCGAAAAAAAATAATAATAATAAATAAATAAATAAATTTACTTACTTACTTACTTATTTATTTATGGCTGCATTGGGCCTTCATTGCTGCACGCGGGCTTTCTCTAGTCGCGGTGAGCAGGGGCTACTCTTTGTTGTGGTGCGCGGGATTCTCACTGCAGTGGCTTTTCTTGTTGCGGAGCACAGGCTCTAGGCACACGGGCTCAACAGTTGTGGATCGCAGGCTCTAGAGCACAGGCTCAGTAGTTGTGGTGCACGAGCTTACTTGCTCCGCAGCACGTGGAATCTTCCCGGACCAGGGCCCGTGTCCCCTGCATTAGCAGGCGGATTCTTAACCACTATGCCACCAGGGAAGTCCAAAATGAAACTCTTTAGTAGTAGGTTTTGGAAATAAGTGGCATCAGTATTTCCCTACCCTGACAGCACTAAATATTACCTTTGGAAGTTTTTTTAAAAGACAGATACTCAGGCCCCGCTGAGTCTTACTAAGCCAGAATCACCAAGATTAGAAGCTTGATTTCTTTTAGAAAGCCTCCTAAGTAATTTGTACAGACACAGTTATCCAAGCAGCAATCCACAGGCTGGCCTCAGGGGCTAGACCATGTGTCAGTCCGCAACCCACCTGCCCAGTAACACCCTGGCTCTTTGGAACTGCGGCCAGGCATGGGGCATGTGGTGAGTTTGCAGTCAGAGTGGTAAAGCGCCTGATAAAGAGCCTGGCACAGAGGGAACCCTCAGGTGTATCCAGTGTTTCCCCCTTTCTATTCCCTTGACCTACACAGCAGAACTCTGGGACCAAGACCCACAGGGTTATGATCAAACTCAACAGAATTATCAGGCAGTCAAAATCAGGGGAGAGTTTAATTTTTTTTAGAATGGGACCCAAAAAGCTATTTTGCCTAAGTCGAGATGAAACTTACAAGGAAGAGAGTTGTGGCGGGGAGGGAATGTTAAATAATTATTTCAACCTGCTTGTTCTTCTTTCAATACGAGAGATTTAGGGCCCTGAATACCTGAACTGTACTTTATGGCCTTTCACATCACTTTGCTCGTAATAGATACAGCCTTTATATAAATCTAGATACCATTTTTCAAAACCTCAATTTTACACAGGCATTTTATCTACTGCACACTTAATAGGGAAAAACAAGTTACTGGAATTAACATTAAATTGGCAGGGCTTTCCCAGAATCACTCTAGCTTTGTGCTGAGTGAACGTCAAAATTATAATGCCCTAGACAGATGAATGAGTATATTTTCCTGTAAAATATAAGCTCCAATTCATTGTATAACAGCTAATAACTACTGTATAAATCAAATTATCAGGGCACCTATCAAGACCTAATGAAAATATCTTAAGTATCTTAAGACAATAGTTACCTTAGGGAGACTACACCACAGTGAAGAAATAAAAATAACTTGAATAGCAAAGATGCTTCTGGGAAATTAGGTAAAGATGTATTTATATAAAAATTCCACTGTGCAGCAATGGTTAATTGAATTTTCTGCTTAACTGTCTCACTCTCTGTGGAAAATCTTCCTAAAATGTACAGTCTACTCTCCTGCCTTAAAAGACAGCCAGAGGAGGATTGCTGAGTATCTGCTGCCTGGGCCAACAGTCTTCTGTCTACAGGAGATGGAGGGGCCCGAGTGTCACTGCAGGACCCAGAGGATGAAGGTCTTTACCGGGCCTCTGGTAGGACTTCACCTGGCTGCCACTTGTGATAAATGCTGAACGACATGATCACGAAGTTCTTTCCACCTCTGACACTATGCCCTCCCACAAGGCATCTGCTGGAGAGCCCATTCTTGAATCAAATTATAACATTCTCTCCTCTTACAGAAAGGACAATTAATTCAGAACGGTAGCTTCATTCCTTCCTTCCTGTATATTCATTCACTCGCTCATTCATTCATAAATACACACTGACTATTTACTATGTCATCAGTCCCGTGCCAAGTATGGGGATACAAAGCATCCTGCAGCGTCCAAGGTAGTGTGGAAGGCAGATCCTAATTAAACCACCGTACAAATATTCTATTATAAACATAATAAGCACAACAAAGGAAAAATAAGGGGTACCCTGAAGGCCTGTAACAGAAAGTGGGGGCATCGAGGCTGGGGGATCAGGGAAGCACCCCGAGGTGCCTGTTCCATTTGCTACCTCAACTCCAACGCACCCGGGTTAGCTGAACCCAAGCCCTGCATCTGCCTGAATTAAACGTCACAGTGACCTTAAGAAAAAGGTGTTACTCAGAACTGCAGAAGGAAAACCATATGCAGGCAGAGAATGGAAATTTTTAGCCTAAGTACAGTCTTACTAAAAATAGCCTCATGGCGGGGAGGAGGGAGCACCGGGAATAACTGTTGCTGGCTCAGGTTCAAAATGCGCCCCAGAGCTACGCATGCGCGGCGCGGTAGGCCAGTTGGGTGCTGCCGACTCAGGCTGGAAACCCCACACACACAGTTGGGATCTGTCCGCGCTCAGCCTGGTCTGTTTCTCCCTGACTGCATGTATGGCAAGCCTCCGGCCACTGGTCTCAGATGACCTGGCAGGGCTCATGAGTGCTTTTCACGTTGCCACATTCCGTTCCAGAACTCCGTACCACACGTTAAAAGCATGTACCTTGTTCTCCTTGTAGAGAACTTCAAGATGCAAAACCTTTCGGAGATGGTTTCTGCTGTTTATGCTGAGATCAGAGCGTGGGCGTTCCTGGTCCATGGTCACACACGTCTTCTTTAAGCCCTGAGGGAAGAACTCTGAATCACTCTTTACCATTTTAAATCAAAACCTTCCGAGCTCTGACGCAGAGGATAAACAAAAGACTGTTGATGTTCTTTACGATCATCTTCTCCTGCCTTCCTCTCCGGATATTGGGAGGACCAAAAACTGACTTAAGCATTTATTTTGATATAACCTTTACACTTGATATCATCTTCACAATTATTATTCCGAATCTTACAGCCACCCTGTGGGCTGGGCTCAGGCTGAAGTTGTCAACGCGTTTTATAGAAAAGGAAAGTGAAATCCGGGTAGCAACTGTCTGGCCCGAGGCTGGCTCTGGAGCCCTGGGTTTGGCCTAGATTTGGGGCCACAGGATATGAAGCATTAAAAACAAACAAAAGGAGGGCTTCCCTGGTGGCGTAGTGGTTGAGAGTCCGCCTGCCGATGCAGGGGACGCGGGTTCGTGCCCCGGTCCGAGAGGATCCCACGTGCCGCGGAGCGGCTGGGCCCGTGAGCCGTGGCCGCTGAGCCTGCGCGTCCGGAGCCTGTGCTCCGCAACGGGAGGGGCCACAGCAGTGAGAGGCCCGCGTACCGCAAAAACTAATAATAATAATAAATAAATAAATAAACAAAAGGCCAATATTCATTTCCTTCTTCTTTCAGATGGGGCACCAGGGTCGATTTGTCCAACATAACACAGTGGACTCACAGAGCGGGAGTTCTGACCATCCCAGGCTGCGAGGCAGTGATGCGAGGACCCAGACTCACAGGAAGCACGTGGTAAGCATCTGCAGTGCCCCAGCACAGCCGCTTTCCATCATCCGGCCCTGAACTCCCAGAAGGCCAGCCATGGGAAGCATTAATCCCCCTAAGAGCCTGGCTTCTTCATTTGAAAACGACAGCAGCTGTGGCCTGCGCACCTCCCCAGAACGCAATGATAACCAGATAGCGGAAGATGAGGAGATGCCTCACACACAGCTCAGCCTGGCATTAAGGGAGCCCCTTGCTTCTGATGGATCTAGACCCCAGTGCTAGCCAGGCCTCAGTGGCTCCCCTAGGCTTTGTATTCAGAATTTTACAGAGGCTCTCAGTGCTGGGAAAACAAGGCAAAACCTGCTGCCTGCCATGAATTGGGACAAGAAGAATTTGTGAAACAAGACATACGAACACAACCTTGAACCAAAAGGAATGAAAAGAAGTCTTGGGAGGGGGGCGGTGGGGAACAGAAAGAAATGTTGGGGAAAAGGTAGGGACGTGCCTGGGTCCATTAAGGAGAGTCAGCCGGAAGGAGAGGTGGGACTCAAGAGGCACCTGCATTTCATGGGGGCTTAACCATGGCTTTCCCACCAAAGTGATGTGGAAACCTGTATAATAATGTGCTCTCTTCTGGGTAACTCCTGATGTTTGTCAGCAGTTCAGATCAGCAAGTCTTGGCACACTTAACAAATTCCCTGGGACTGTGGTGCAAACTGGCATTTGAAAACCACTGGAGCAGTGGACAAGGATGCCCTCAGAAATCAGCCAGTCATCGGTCCCATCATTCATTCAACAAACACTTGTCGTGCACCTACTCTGTGCCAGGCTCTGTTCTAGATGCAGGAGATATAGATGGATTATGACCAAGTCTTGCCCTCATGAAACTGACATTCTGTTAGGGAAGCAAACCACAAACAAAGGGGTAAATGTACAGTACACCAGCTGCTAATATGCTCTACTATGAAGACAGAGAAAACAGAGAGAGGGGAGACACTATTTTAGATTGTCAGCTATTTACTGAGCATCATCCATGTGCTCACTCCTGTCTTCAAGTTTCCCCATCTGTGAAATGAAAGGAACAAACCATTAGTCCACTCGTTCATCTGCTAGAGGCAGAGGAGTGAGCAGACCAAAGTCCTGGCCCTCAGAGAGCTCACCTACTATCAGGAAAAAGATAACAAATAGAATACCCTATGGGAAAAAAAATACAGCAGAGTCAGGAAACAGAGAGGGCCAGGAGGGGGTGCAGGGAAGGGTTGCTACTTTATAAAAGGTGATCAGGAAAAGCTTCATGATTAAGTGACATTAGAGTCAAGACATGAGGGAACTAAGGGAGCAGATTGTGCAGACACTTGTGGGTAGTGTTCTACAAGGGCAAAAGCCCTGTGGCAGCTACAAGGAGGCCAGTACAGCTAGAGCCATGTAACTAGGGAAAAGTGTCAGGAAATGAGGTCAGAGAGGTTGCCCAGAGCTTGCTAAGGAAAGGTCTTGTCGGCTTTTGTAAAATGGAAAGGCTCCTGGAGGATTTGAAAAAGGGAGCATCCTGAACTAACTTATATTTGCAAAGGATCACTTGGCTGCTAGGTTGAGAACAGACTGTATGAGATAGGGGATTACATATTAAGATTAGAAGGCTACTGAACAACTCACATGAAAGATGGAGGTAACTTGGACCAGGGTGGTTGTAGCAGAAGTGGGAATAAGTAGCTACATTCTTTAAGTGCTCTGATGGGAAAGCCTACAGATTTACTGACGGACAGCATGCAGGGTGCACAAAAAGGAAAAAAAGCCAGGAATGGTTCCAAACGTTTTGGTCCAAGCAAGCAGACAGTTAGTGATGCTACTTACTGAAATGGGAAAAATTGCAGGAGGTGAAGGAATCAGGAATTGAGTTTTGAACGTGTTGAGATGTTTATTGGATATCCAAGTGGAAATGTAACATAGGCAGTTGGAAAGAATGTAAGAGTTCAAGGAGAGCTCTTGGATAGAGATAGACATTTGGAAACTGTCAGTCAGCATATCGACGGTATTGGAACCCACAACAGTGGTGGAAGTGGCTGGGAGATGAATGGAGAAGAGAAGGGGGCCAGAGACTCAGTCTTCAAGCCCACCAGCATGCACAGCTCAGGAAGCCAGGGGGGACTTGCCAGGAACCTGAGAAGGTATAGAAGGAAAACCAGGAGGGGGTGATCTCCAGAAGCTAAGGGGAATGAGTTGCCAAGAAAGGCATAATCAACTGAGTCAAACACAACTGTTAGATCAGTAAGTGTAAGGACTGAAAATCAGAAGTCATTGGTGAACTTGACAAGAGTTGTTTTCATGGAGTGACGGGGACAAAAGGCTGATTAAAGTGGGTTTGAGAAAACAGGGAGAAGAATTAGAATCAGAACACACAGAGCCCTTTCATGGGTTCTGCTATAAAGGAGAAAGAGACTAGTAGCTGGAGGGTCTTCGGGGTCAAGATGGAATTGGTAGGAGCACATATAAATGTTGATAAGACTAACCCAGTAGAGAAAGCAAAATGTATGATACAATACAGAGAGATGATGATAACTGCACCAGTGTCCTGGAACACACAAGAGGGGACAGGCACACAGGGAGGGGTTGGCCTTACCCAGGAAGACGGAGAATTCATTCCTGAGAACAGGAGGCAGGGGCGAATAGTTCAGGCCCAGGAAGGTTAGTTACTGTGGTGGTAGGGCGTGCTGGAGTTTTCTCAAGGCTGCTTCTATTTTCTCAGTGAAATTAGAGCGGGAGGGGACTTTGGAACTTGAGGAGAGAGATGTGTGAAATGGTCGGCCAAGATTTGAGAGAGTGAACGGGCTATAGAGGTATAAGCAGATGGGCAGGCATCCCTGAGGCATCACAGGGGTGAGTGGCCATGAATTTGGCATGAAACCATCAACACGGTGGTGTGTTTTCCCCCAGCCCCAATCAGCCCTGCAGTGCAGGCACAGAGTAGACCAAGCTGAATTTTTAACATCAGAGGAGTATAACGAAGGGAGAGACAGGCAAAGGAGTTGAGCGTGGCGTTGAGGGCGTGATTACAATGACGGGCAGGTAAGACGTGAGGAGAGGTCACAGAGGGCTGAGGAATGGTGAAAAGTTGGCAGGAACAGTGGAATGGAGATGGGAGTGAGGCTGAAGAATAGTTTATATCGGGCTGCTGATGGGGGTGAGCTGGAAGTGAGGGACGATGGGATGCTTGGAACTGAGATTATGGAAACAAGCCTAGGGCATGACCACCTGGAAGGAGTGTCAAAGGTCAGATGGGACAGGTCCCTGCAGGAGAGGGAGGCTGGGGCACGACAGAGGGAGGCCTAGAAGGCTAGGGCACCAGAAGAGTCACCTTGGTGGACCCTGCCATTGCCAGGAGACTGTCATGATTCTCCCTGCAGGGGGATCACGCTTGGAGGAGGCCAGTGTCGCTAGGTACAAAGTAGGCTGGAGGGTAGAGGAGGAGTGGTGGAAGGTGAGGTTCGAGGGGGAGCCGGCAGCCACGTCATGGGGAGCCTGGTAGGCCCTGGTGAGGCCTTCCCTGGGCTTTTACTCTAATTGCAAAAGGAAGCGCATGGAGGGTTTTGGACAGAGGAGTGACATGATCTGACCTGCTCACCCTGGGCAAGTTTCTTCACCTGTCTGATCACAGTCTTTCGTGAAAGGGAATGATTATACCTCTTTCAGGACTGTTATGAGGATTTGAGAAGATAAACAGGCATCTAGAAAGTACCTTGCACCACGATGGGCACACTCTTGGTTAGAACTGCTCGGTACCTGCCTTGTGCCAAGCCCTGAGGGGAGTACACAGTCTCTGCCCTGGAGCAGAAGGTGATGAGCAAAGCAGCCAACTTGAGCTGCAGTTCCAGCTCTCCATGACTTTCTGAAAGACTGTGGGCAACTCCTTTCTCCTCTCGGGGCTTTAGTGTGCCCCGATGAAAAGTAGGAAGGAGGGGAGACCAAGTGAACCAGACGACTGCCAAGGTTCCGCCCAGTTCAGGTGTCAGCTCTGTGGACCTGTCTAGTGGGTGAGACAGGCAGATGTATAAACTATCACACGAGCACCGATGAGCAAACCACAGACAAATGAGTCAGTTATTTCAGCCGCAGTTACCTGAGACATCTTGAAGGAAATGGAACTTGGGATGGGCCATGGGTGGAACAGGGAAAAGAAAGCATGTGAGAGAAGCTGGAAATGAGATTGGGCTGGTAAGGTGAGGTCAAGCTTCAGGGGAGCCTTGGATATCAGGTGAGGTCTCTGGATTTCGTTTGTACTTGAGAAAGGATAGGCATGAGGAAAACTCTCAGAGAGTTTTGCTTGGTAGCCCAGACTTAAAAGAAACGATGGCCGTGGTCAGCCTCACGGGGTGTATCACTGATATCCCCTTGTGTAGCCAGGACTAGGTGATGGCAGGTCAATTAGCCATAAAAACAGAGCAGGTACAGTGAGGCCACACTGCATTTTAAATAAAAATACATTTTCAAAAAGCAAAGAAAGACACTTTCAAAACAGGTGCACATCAGAGATGGAGGAGGAGACAATGCTGAATGCCAACTATGTGCCAGATACAGTGGCTGGGACCTGCCCGTACATTACTATTAATCCTCATTACAAATCTGCCAAGAGTAGGTCTTATTATTCCTCTGTTACAGATAAGGAAACCAAGGCAGTGAGTAAGGTACTCCAGCTTGAGCTGGTAATTAATAGCGTCTATCTGAACTGTTCCCTCCAAAGCCCTTCCCTTTCCCCCATTCAAAACACTGTTTATTTTGGCTGCGTGTGTCTTTTAATGACAGACAAGAGCCCGTCGTCCCCGCCCAACATGACACCAGGAGGACACCAAACACTTAGCAGGTGGTCAGCCTGGGTCAGCAGTGGGTGCCTTCCCTACAAACCCACACACAGTGACCCCCAGTGACCTCTTCCCCAGCCTGCCCTCATCTCCACTGTCAGGGCAGGTGGGAGCCAAGGACCTCCCCAACTTCTGAGTTCTCTGAAGACTCTCCTGGGACAAGACAACAGGAGAACTTAAAAACAAAACGACCTCAACGATTGAACTTCCCGCTGATGAACAGGACTAAAGGGTTTGACTGGCAAGAACTTTTTTTAGCCCTTTGGATTTTCTTTGGGGGGAAGTTCTTTCCTAGTGGGACGTAAGCCTTGGGACTGGTTATGGAGCCCGGCGGCAAGGCCGGCCTGCTGGGCTCCCAGAGCCTCGTGAACTTTAGGAAAACGGGCAGGGCCCAGGCCCCTGGTTCGCGCGCCCTGGAGGGAGACGCCCGGAAGGACGGCCGCGGTCCTGCCCCGCTTTGCGGGAAGTGCACCGGGACAGAAATGGCTCCTGGGAAAGGTAGTTCCCCAGGCCCGGGAAGGTGGCGCTTGCATCGGGCATCTCTAGGGTAGGCAGCGGGCAGGGGAAGGGCTCCCTCCCCGAAGGTGCAGAGGTTGCAGGGGTGCCTCCAGACTGTTCCACCCCCAAAATTGAGCAACTTCCCAGGGCTGTGAGGGCGGCGCCACGTACCTTCCTGCCGGAGA